ACCACAACTGAACAAACACCCCTGGTTTGAATGTAAATTCTCTCTCTCCTCCAATACTTTGAGCCTCTCCTGTAACTCCTAGCACACTTTACTGAGTATTCCGGTTCTCAGGGGGGGCTTCTCTTTTTCTCCTATAGATCATAAGCTCCGAGAAACCATGAAATTTCTTTTATTCATCTAAAAAACAATTTCTTACTGAGGCTAGCTTAATGTGATTATATAGTAGGAAAGTAAAAAAGAGTAAATATTATTAAATGTGTATATTTCAATGAGGTAAAACCATTTTGGGATATGCAGCAGAGCCTGAGTCTACAGAAATCCTATTTTAATTATGTTCCATCAAGGTCCGGGAGTCTGGTCACTGAGGGGATGGATAACAAAGGATTACTATGTTCGTGCATCGCAACTTCTGGGGAAGATCATAAATTATCTTGATGACTCATTTCCTCTAGTCACTCTGGCACTCCCAATGTGGGGAAAACTTTTCTGTCGCTTTCCTTTAGATTTGTGAGATATAAATGGGGGCAAAGAACCTAAACTTGAGGTTGTTCAAGAATTATTTAATGTATATGTAAAGCTTAAAAAACCATTAATGGCTCTCTTAGAACCATTGTAATAACCATCAGAGTGCAAAGGCCATACTTAAGGTGACAGTATTCTAAGTGTCATTTTGTAGAGGAGTGGCTGGTGACCCCAGAGGTTGTTTGTTTCATCCTAAGTCACCCAGGATGCTCCCCATCTACGTGCTGAGTATATGAGGCGATGTAACAAAGGCTCCCTGTTCTTCACACGCAGATTGAAAAGAAAGTAGAAGGATAGAATCTCTTTCATTTCTAGATGATTTCTACTATCAGGGTCTCTGAAATGCAATTCAGAACCTTGAACGTTTATATCATTTCTAGATCCCTCCATGTCTACGCCAAATTCACCCACACAATTTTTTCATTCGCGTGCACATTCATTACTGGAAACAAATCGCCTTATTTTGTTCTTTAGTTTCTTACCTATTTGTACATATTTTTAGATAGATTTTTTTTTCAGTACTTAGGACAGTCTTAAACAAATAAATGCTGAATAAATATTTCTGAATTACCCACCATAAAGGTCTCCTGGAAATTTGCCTGTGGATTACTGCTCTATGGCTGCTAATTGTCTCATTTCCTTGTCTTTGTTCTCATTCCAGGATCCTTTGGCACCTGCTTTACTTCATTGTTCTCTCATTTTTCATTTTTCCATATAGGCTAAGCTAATTAACTGCAGCATTGGAAGTAGCAAAGATATTAATTCTGTACAATGCTTTGAAATATACTTCATACGATTATATATTTATGGATAAAATTTTCATTCTGTGCATTTTCTCCTTATTCTTCCCTTTGAAGAGAAGAAAGAGATCATCCTAAGGAACCTGAACTCACCCACTTCACTAATAAGTATTTCCATGAATTTTGCATCTCTCATCGCTGAAACTTTGGACGTTATAGATATGTTTTTCATTAAAAGGCCTGCTTTTTATTGTTGGTGTGTATTTCCTGTTTTTCCTTTTCTCAGTTCCCATACCTTGTTTCAGGACTCGCCTCTAATGATGGATTTACAGAGGGACCTGTTAACAGGGCAATAACCACGACCTCCCCCTCAGTTACTGCCTGTCCGCACTCCCACCCAAGTGGCATCAAGTCCCTGTGCGGTTCCTTTTCTCTCTTCCTTTCTTTTCTCTTTATCACCCAGAGCCTTTTTTGTGCATGGGGACATTTCACGTGGGGACATCCTCAGCTCTCAAATGGACTTCAGGGGACCCTGAAATTTGCCTCTTACCACTAAGATTTAGCAAAAATGAAAGCAAACAGAATTTCTCCGTACTAGTCTCCTTGAGTTTGGAAGCCAAGGACATATTTTCTGCTCTTGCTAGAGATGGACTGAAGAGAATCCTACCTGGAACAATCACATGCTATGTAAACAGTGTGAAGGAGCATTGGATAAAAATCACCTTTGGGGAGATAAGTCCAAAGGTTCCAGACTGCCTTCTAGATCATTGTCTTTGTCAGAGGCAGATGTAAAACTTAACAGAGAAGAGCTGATATGTGAGGTTTTGTAAACAAGCTTGGTATTAATTTAGGGTTATTAGTGCTGCTTCAAATTCGGAATCCTTTAGCTCCTGTCTCTTGCCCATTCTTCCTTCTTTATGTGACTTGATATTAGACTGTCTGAACCAACCAATCTCTCTCTCTCTCAACAGACCTTAAATAATTAAGAACAAGTGTAACATGAAGATTATTATCTTCGATAGTTTTTCTTCACCATTTCGTGGTAAGTCTTTAGTGGAGTAAAGAGTACTTAGGGCCAACTTAAAACAGTAAATTATTACTTTCATCAGTCATATTCCAAAATATTCCTAAAGACAAAAATCAACTCATTCCCAAACTACCAGCTGTGGCTCACTTGCATCATGAAATTGACTAGAGAGATGACCTCCGAGGAGAATGCTGTAGTAATTCAAGGTCACTACATCAGATAAATTTGCTAACAATGTTTAAAGATCAGGCCAGGGTCTCAAAGGACAAAACATAAGAATAGGTGAGGAAGTCTTTAAAAAGCTTGATTATCTATCAAACATTATAATAACCTCTGAGAATTACAATCTCTACCTATCATGGTGTTTTAAATACTTGATAGACATCTTTGTTCATTACTGTATTGATAAGATTTCTCACAAGTTCATTTTTCTGAGGGAAAGAAATAATTTCTTTAAATCCTCTGAAAAAGTCATAATAGGCTTTCAAAATCTATAATGGCTTGTCAGGAGAAATAGATTACTAATAATCTAGGATTTAAGAGTGGAATACAGAAGGCAGAGTTAGAAAAGACTTTAAAAATGGAAGCTGCCCAACAATGTAGAGTAATGAGCTCCTTATAACTAAACATAAAAGGTAAATGATAATTGGGCATGGATGCTGTCACACCGGTTAGGAGGCTGTATTAGAAGATGTCTACTCAGTTTATTTAACACAATCTGACAAAGTTTCCAAATTCCTTGCCGTTTGCACCTTCGGGGCAAGCCGGGTCACTCTAAAAATGCAATGTCCAAAGTTTTGTATAATACTGCAGATATTCTCTGGCTAGGGCAGAATACGATGTGACTAATGTACAAATGACCTTTTATTAATGTAGTCCAAAATTATGTTAGATTTTTTTCATAGCCAAACCATATGGCCAATTCTTAGTGAATTTTACTCTGATAAAAGTAAAATCCCCAGACTTTTACTCATATGAATTCTAAGAAACCCAGCCTCCTTTATCCTGTTCTTGCATAATTGATTTTTAAATCCTGAATGTAAGTGTTCATATTTATTGCTGATAAAGTCTGTTTTATTGATTCTAATGTCAAGATAATTTTTCATTCCAAATTAGCTTGTTGCATTAAGTATTTCAAAGTATTTGTGTCATTTCGAATTGCCAAAAAAAAAAAAAAAAAAAAAAAGAAAAGAAAATTGCTATAGCTTCCTAATTGCTGATAGAGGTTGAACAGAACTGAATCTAGACACTCTGATGGAGTTTTCCCAGAGGAAAGTTATGACTCCTCTCCATAAAGCAAATTCTCTAAAGAACCTACAATTTTTAAAAGAAAGTGTCTTTCCTTTAATCCCTGAAAATAACTCGTTACCATCTTTGAAAGAGAGCACAAAAAATAGTAATATATGATTAATGTCAGGATTTCCTACTGAGTGGTTTTTAAGTTATCTTAGGCTGAAAAATATAAGAACTCAGATAGGGACCTCCTACCCATTCTGGGTTAATCAATAACCTTTGGTTTTGCAAAAACATCTGTGACTGTTAAGAGTGAATTGAAATACATTAGAAATGGCATTACCAGGTGATGGCAAGGCTGCAAACCAGAGGCTACCATCTCCAGCTTCCCCAGGCAATAAGCTCGCCTTTTGGTCCCTTTGAAAGCCTTTCACATCTGGCTGGTGCTGAATGAATCTACTGTCAAGCCATGACTGCTGTGGTACCTGGTTTCTTAAGAATTAATTACACGTTCAGAACAGAGGACTTAGGGGTGTCTGGGGACTCGTGGCAGAGTTCACACAGCCTCTGTTAAACAAAGGAGGCTCTGTCTCTCCTATGCTCCTGCTCTTAACGAGGAAGTGAGTTTGATCACGGGCCACGTTAGGGATCCCTTATTTAACAGAGCCAGAGGTGATTGGATCAACGTTTTTCTAAATAGCATCTTGTGTTTTAGCCATAAGGGAGGTTAACTTTGTACTATTTGGCTTTCAAATATGGTTCTTATCACTGACTAGCCTCAGAGAAAGGAAAACAGCACGACTGTGTTTCCAGGGAGGCGTGTGTGAGTGTGTGTGTGTGTGTGTGTGTGTGATTAATCACAAGAAGTGGGAGAAAGGCAGAGCTTCTCATAGGAAAGGAGGACTGGAAGCAAACTAACCAGTATCAGAAGATAAGGGCTGTATTTGTTTGCTGTTTTTACCTCTGGCCAGGAATTTCTATGTGAAACATTGGAGGGGGTTTGGGCAGTCTGAAGGGACAACTCTAGTTGATAGTGGAATGTTCTGTAATTACAGCACATCTCAGAGGTCGCAACCTAGAAGCCAAGTCCCAGAAACCTAGGATTTTCAAAATGGTTCACATCACGTATTAAGAAGTTCTTGAGTAACAATGGTTCTTTGGCCAAGTCCCTTTCTAAAATCAATCTAAAGTAGCAAAACCACAAAAGATAGTCAACATGTCTGGATTTTGGAGATGCAGCTGGGACTTGGAATTTAGATAGCGTTGCTTTTCCATTACCGTCAGCCTAGACTGTGCTGTCTAATCACCTCTATCCATGTGTGTGCTGTGCAGGATGTTAACAAGCACAAAGGAGAAGAAGACACTAAAAGCCGAAACGGATGGCCAAGCAAGTACAATGAATAAGAAGGAATAAATACAGCAACTATAACAAGCTGGCTAAGTGAGGCCATTGCGTCCCAAAGGCACTCAAGACTCACCAGTAGCTCTTCAATTCCCAAGACTGGATGAGAGAACTTTCCCTCTTCCCCACTCCTCAGCTGTCAGAAACTCTCCTAAGAGAAGAAAAACATCCAGGGGCAAAGAATTAATGGGATGGAAGAGATGAGGGGTGTGAAACGCTGGAGGCAATCCTTGCCTATTAAAGCTGCTTTCTTTGGTCAACTTAATTGTGCTGGCTGAGTTCTTTCTAGAAGTAAACTTGTATGCATTTTATTCAGGCACTATGAATCAAGAAGAAGGAAATTTACCCAGATTCTGCGGCTTTCTCTATACTCTTCTTTCATGCTGAAATTAATGACCAAACAAAAACCTCTGACTTCTCAAAGATTTTCTTATGAATTCTCGCGGCCAAGTGTTAGTGAGAAAATCAACAAGTAATACTAAAAAGGAAGCTCATGGGTGGGTTTGTTTTCTGGTCGGCTTTGTATGTGATGCTGTGTTAGTTGTACAGCTAAGCTGTCTGAGTCGACACATGAGGAGGCATCCAAGGGATGGAGGTGATGAATTAAAAGGCTTTTCCGTTACCAGAGTCTAGAATTCTGAATGGACTTGGAAGTGGGCCAAATCTAAGCAACTTAGGAGAACAAAGAAAAGCAATCTAAAACAAATGGGAGGAGTGGTTCTTATGTGTAATTATTACTTTTAAATTTTGCATTGTTTCCTAAGTAACTAAACCAGTTCACTTCAGCAGCTAAGCACCACTGCTTAGGGCCCAATTCTCTTGGGGTCCTGTTATTTCAGTCACGTAATCTACTGAGATTTCCCTTCACCAAAAGAACCAGTGGGATCCTTGAAAGCAATTTTGGATCACACCCAAAAATCTAGAGGATCTGGTATTTTCTTTTCAATTGTAAAGCAAACTGAATTACAAGGAATCGGGAAGGGAGATAGGTAAGGGAGGAGGGAGCAGTGCAATTTGTAAAATCTAATACATTCTTTCTCCTTTTAAGGGCAAACTGGAGTTTATATATTGAAGTGGAAATTTAGGATAAAACAAAAATAAAAATGTTTCTGATTTTTTTAAGATTGGTCAAATTATAAGCTGATTATTCAGAAAAATAAAGATGTAAGATATGTTACATTATATTAGCAAAGCAGAAAGTGAGTGGCAGTTTCTGGTTGTCTCAGTCCCACATGAGACTGGAAATGTACGTTGGATTTTAGCCCGAGTTACTCTCCTCTTTTGGCTCCATAGGGAGGAAAACTATTTGGCATCTGTTCCAATTCGGTGTTGGAAACTGCACTTTCAAACACCATTTGTATGTATGTGTTCATGCACTTGCTACTGTGAAAAACAACTTTAGAAGACACGGTCCTTTATTTTATGAATTTTACTGTGGCTTATGATAACAATATTGTTGGGATTTTAGGGGATCAGTATCTAACACCCTTCTCTTTGCTACCTGAACTCCGAAGCAGAATTGAGAGACAGAACCAAGAGTCAGACAGATGGAGATCAAAGTATTACTTTTGTTACTGATAAACTGGACAATGTGACTTTTGATTTGCAGCCAAGATGGCTTGCGATTTTATATTTCAGCATTTACACCTCCAGAAGTTTCCAACACAGCCAAGCAGCTGCAGGTCTCCCGTGGAGTGAAGGCTCCAGAGAACACAGCGGAGCACGGACCAGGTGATCTGATGAGCCAACCCAGAAGCTCTGAGGCCCTGTGCAGTCTCTCCTCCTCCCCTGGGCAGGAGTAAGGGAGGGGCAGAGAGAGGCCAGTGGTGTTAATCCTAAATTCCTCCACGTGGAGTTATGATGCCTTAGAGAAAAGCAGATCCCACAACAGGAATAATAATTCTACTTCTATAGTGATTTCATATTCCCATTTATCATCACAGTTTGCAGAGGGAAGAGGGTCTTTGCAGCTGAAAAAGACTCACTTTTGAAAGGGAAAGAGAAATGCCACTTTGTGGATGTAAAGTAGATTTACCTCTTTTCATGGCCTAAACATACTACATTTTCATCTCGCTAATTTGTTTTTCTAAGAAAACACAGGTCCCAACTATAATCCCTTTCTTGCTCTAATTACCTAAAAATTAATAAAAATGATTTTTAATTTTACTCTCAGAAGTTGATATTGCAATGTTCAGTGATAATATATTTGATAACATTTTCAGTCTTCTTACCTAGATTGCAAAAGAAGTAGATTTATTTTGTCTAATTCATAAAGAAGGCAGTTTGTCATATTCATGATCTTTCTTCTTAAATTCAGAAGCCTCATTTTTATTCCTTTTTCTTCCCATCCAAAGCATAAAGAACGTAGAATATGAAAAGATTATTTTTTCTAAAACTGGGATTCAAATGCTTGGTTGTCAATACAAAGGACAAATAAGGACTAGGGAGAGATTGGGGCTCAAGGTGCCAGTAGATGTCATCTGCCCCCATAGGGAGGGCTACAGCAGGAGGGGGACAATCCAACCCTCATGGCAAAAAGCAGCAGAGCCAAGGGATGGATAGAGAGAGGGCCCCAGCAACACCATCTACATTTCTAGTTCTAGCAATGAATTAAGCCAGCTCCCTCCTTGACTTCCTAATTTTGGGAGCCAATTCACGACCTCTAGGTGAATAAGAGTTGTTTTCTGTCATTTGCAACCCTGGAAGTCCTGGAAAATGCAAAGCTTGTCCCCCCTGCATATCTATACTTAGTCTGTAAAGTATAATAAGACTTTAGTAAAGTTCCAAGTTAATGGGAGAAAATCACAACACAGAGGCACAAAATTGACTCTCTACCAATAAGACTGATCCTGATCAAAACAGGAGAAAGCAACAGTGTACTGGTCAAGAATGATACTTTCTCTACTTGGAAAGTAAGTCTCTAAAGAAAACAGAGGCTATAGAAATGCAGCTTTACCAACAGAACATGTCAGTTGTCTCTCTACCCAGCTCTTCATTCAAAGAGCTGAGAAAATTTTCTTTACTATTTCCTGGGTCCTACCCTAGACCTGGTAATAAGGACTTTTGGAATGGGACTTAGAGATCTGAAAATGTATAAAGTTTAACATATGATTCAGATACCATATTTTGGGACCTTTTTTCTACCAGCTGTTTTGGTAAAAAGGAAGCTTCTCCCAAACATGGCCTAGGAGTGGGAGCTCTGAGAGCAGAAGGTCTATTTTTCTTTCAATATCTTGTTCCATCATTGCCTTTTTCCTATGCAGTTGGACTGAGATATTTGCCAAATCTTTCCCAATGTACACTTATGCTCTCTCTGCTGGAATAAGCTGTCATTTTTGTCTTACATTTTTAATAATAACTATATATTATGTAAAAATGAAAAAAAGAGCATGAGGTCTAAACAAGACTTGGTAACGTTGACTAGATGCCACCTCACCTGAGCTAGTCTAGTAGGACTAAGAAAAGTATCGGTCCCAGAACACAGGGTGGGAAAGAGTTTATGTATGTTTTTAAGTGATCTCAGCTGAAATGTATAGTGTGGGCAATAGAGGATGAGAAGACAGGAAGTCAAAAAGACCATTAATTCAATACAAAAGAAAATCCCTTTGACATTCATAAGCACAACCACACTTGGTATGGGTTCAATAATACTTCTGCTAACATCCAAAGGGAACACCTAAGAATTTCTACGATTTTAGCTTCCTGCATCTTCAAAACCACTTACGCATGTCCTATGTTAGTGATCCAAAAACAAAGATACATTTCGATAAAAGTAGTATTAATCGTAAAAGACAGAAGAATCATTTGAATCAAGGCTCACTGAAGTGAAACAATGTTGCCATCAATAAGACATTATTGACCTCATAAGACAAGATTGATCCTCTTCTATCCAAAATGCTGATGGGTTGGACACATACAGTTTGTCCAACAGGGTATGAATACACCACAACACAACACAAACAGCAAGCAGTTACTTTTAGCATATTTTGGACAAAAGCCAAAAATTGCCCTCAAGCCCATTTTACCATATTTTAAGCATAAAAATAAATGATGACCTTATTTTAACTTTCAGATGACACAGAAATTACATTATTCAGGAGTTTATTGGTGTCGTAGAATAACAGAAATCAGGGTGTATGGTGAAAGTAGAAACTTAGATGAATTAGACATTGAAACAGGAACCTTGGCAGTAATCGTAATCAAAGAATGTGTGTATGTTTGTGTGTGTGTGCACATGTGCAAGTTTGTGTCACAACAATCTCACCTTTCTGGGAATGTTGTTTTTCTAGTTTAGATCACTAGAAAATTTCTTGGGGGCTAGCCAGAAAAACAAATGTTGCTGGAATACTGAGGATTGGTTAGAGCGGTTATTATAGCCTTTTGCATAATAACCATAGTGTTAACTTGGCTAGGCTGAAATACGTTCCCCAGAATCGCCTTTCCTGTCCATTTCCCATTAAGGTGGACCCCATGAGAGATTCTTCTGTGGGATTTGGAGACTGCAACTGCTCCCCTTTCCCTGGAACTTCTTCAGCTTCTCTGATTCTTGGGTCAGTGTCTATGTTTAGTTTCAAGACAAAGGATCCCCAGCTTCTGTGGAACACACACCAGCAAGGTCAGAGACAATGAAAACCGACTTGTGTGTGTCCTTATATATATTCCAACTTGTGCTTGCTCTTCCCCATTTCCCTTCCTGCTGCCTGCCCTGCAGACTTCAGGCTTTAGCAACAGATGCAAGGACAATGGCATTATAGAGACTGCTTAACCAGCTCTCATGATTGTTTAAGACCAGATCACTCTAAAAGTCTGTATTAATATCTATATCATTGATATCTATAATTATAGATGATACAGCTATCGATAGATAGATAAAATATCAATAGGGCTGCCCCGGTGGCGCAGTGGTTGCGAGTCCGCCTGCCCATGCAGGGGACACAGGTTCGTGCCCTGGTCCGGGAAGACCCCACATGCCGCGGAGCAGCTAGGCCCGTGAGCTATGGCCGCTGAGCCTGCGCGTCCGGAGCCTGTGCTCCGCAATGGGAGAGGCCACAACAGCGAGAGGCCCGCGTACCGCAAAAAAAAAAAAAAAAAAAAAAAAAAAAAATATATATATATATATATATATATCAACAGATCTATCTATTAATATAC